ATTAGATTTTTTTCCCTAATTAACTCCCTTCCAATTGTAATTAAAACTTTCCTAAATAATTCTTTCTCTCTCTTCTTACCCACTACCCACCCTATAGGGTGCCATCGACTCAGCCGCCAGTCCATCAATACTCTTCCAAATAGTCACCTTGCCCTCAAGGTGGAATGAAGGAAATTGTTGTTAAAGCTCTAGATTAATTGCAATGGACTAGAAAATGGAGTGAGAATGGGTCCAACGATCCCTGACTCGAGCATCTCCTTGATTAATCTCTCAATCTGTCCATTCTGGATTTGGGGATGACGATACAGACGAACACTGATAGGTGAGACTCCTTCCTTTAAGATGGTAGCATGCTCGCGTTCCCGCAGAAGAGGCAACCCTGAACTAGTTGGAACCCCACTCGATTCTGCTGTAGGGGTGGTTAAACCATAGCTGGTGCTTTTATCTTCTCCCCATCTTTTTCTTCTTCCAAACTTTGCAAATTCACCAAAAATCTCACTTCTTCACCCTTTCCCCTCCTTGGAGGTGGCTCCAAAAGTGGCATCTCCTCTTATTCCCCAACATTTTGACCTCTTGATCTTCCCCTCCTTATCAAATTAGGGTTTCCTCCACTCCCTTGGTCGTTTGCGGCTCCCCTCGCCTCCGACAACACCGTTTTGATTTGGAACTTGTGCATCTTTCTCATCATCTCCTCCATTATGGCAAACTTCTCATCATTCTTCTCATGGATGGCTAAAAATTGCTTTTTGGAATATGAAATCTTTTCTATAAAATCATATTTCAATGGTTCGATCTTCCCTTCTAGCACTTCTACATTTCTTCCCGCCATAAGTGCCTGGATCTAGGCCCCAAACAGCAAAAAACACCAAATATGGTCTTTCAACAATAAAAATCAGCAGGATGGATGGAACAAACGCAGCAGAAATTAGCGAGGAAGACTTATATTTCAACCCAGGACACGACTCTGATACCAATTTGATAGGAAATGGATGCAATTTTAGCAAAATCAGAGAACGACACAATAAATTTAAAAAGAAGAACACAAACTCTTTTTTTTTTTTGAAAGAACTAAGAAGAAAAATCTAAGATACATTTTTGATCTTCAATTGGAAAGGAAGATTGGGCTCTCCCAAATCTTTAACTATCAGCTAGAGCCCACTCAACTTAAGCAAAACTAATTTTAGCAAAATCAAGCATAATTTAAAATCACCTCATTGTTAGCCTTAAATAGGCTCCCCTACTTCCCTCCCAAATCAGCTCTATTTCTCTAAATAATTTCCTCTCAGTTTTGAATTCAAATTAGATCTCTTTCCCCGATTTGTTGCTTAGTACTAGATGTGTCTAAATTGCATCTCGATGCATATTGAGAGAATGTGCTTGTGCCTTCGATTGTTGGATGCGAAAGATTAAATAGATTTGCCAAGTTATATGTAATCATTGGCATTATTGGAGTATATGCTCCCTATGTCGCTTGGTATTTTACATCTTACATGGATGTTGAACTTGCCCAAACTTAACTACTATACGTGCCTTTCGGGAGCTCGCCATCCACATCATTACCTTGACCATTCGGTTTGCTTATTGATGAAGTTGGCTTACTCTTCGATATTGGGTGGTGCCATTAGGCTGGTTGATGAGGAAGTGCTTGAGACCGTATTGGCTACAATATGGATATTAACTCCCCTAAGCTTTCCCAATTGTAATTAAAACTCTCCTAAACAATTCCCCCTTAATTCATCCTTACATAATGAATATTAACTCCCCTGAGCTTTCCCTAAATAATTCCCTCTCAGATTTGAAATTCAAAAGGATGATTAGTATAGCTACAATATGGACAGAAGATTAAAAAAAACATTTATGCAAACATCGCCATTTAATATGTTGTTGCTAGTGATAGTAAAGGAAAATTGTCCTACGAAGAGGTGAGATAGAAAGCATGATATCACAAGGAGTGAGACCTAGAGAATCAAGGGGAAACTAAAATCATAGAGATGAAGAGTTCAGGCCTTGACACCTTATCTAGTGTGGGTAGATTGCAAGATGGGCACATGCATTAACTAAGGTAGGAGGTAAGCATATAATGAGGAAGAATAAGGGTCACTCATATTATCGAGCACGACGAGTGTACACAGTAGGAGCGTGCATAAGTGAATGTAGATGGCTTGTAACTTTGGGCAGGATCGTGATAGCATAACAATGTGGCAGTGTGTGAGCATGGGAAAGCAAGCGAGTCTACATAATTGCTAGAGAGGACAATAGCAGGCATATTAGTGATACAAGTAACATGGATGTTAAATCTGTGAAGAATTTACATAGATGTGGAGAAGAGATACAATGAATTGAGTCTTTAAGCGAGTTACGTTCCTGGGGTCATCTGTTGCGATGCTGCGAAGTGATTGGGACTTCGAACAGGATTCAGGGCAAGTGTATGCTTGAGGGGTTGCGATCAAGGTGTGAATAGCAATAGAAGCCGAGTAGAGTTTATGGGAGGTAATGGGCAAGAATTGAGCAAGCTGACGAGCAAGCGCGCGAAGTGAGCATATTTAGCATGGGAAGCATGACAAACATGCCTTTGGGGCATTGTTTTAGAATGCAGGGCTAGTGAAGAAAAGAGAGAAATGCATGAAACAATACAAAAAATGCACATGGCCATAGGTTTGTGGCTGTGAGGGTGGGCGAGGGAGGGATTGTTCCAAGGGATATCGATACAAGCATAGTGGTGGAGCCAAACACAGGTCATAATATGAATTTATGGGTAAAAAATTGGATGATTACCTACTGAACATCGACGTCTATTTAAAGACTTTCAAAATGAGTACAATAAGGACAAATAAATGAGAGAATATCAATTAAAGAAATATAAATTATATTTATCAAAATGCATAATCTCCTAAGATAATTAATATTTCCATAATATTATTTCCTATTAAGTGTCATATGTTAGTGGCTAGGGAGAAGATGCTTAATGGGCATACATTTTACCTGAGGGGGGGGGGGAGAGGAAGTAGAGAGTTCTTCAATGGATATGAGTATTTTCCCATCCAACTTGTAATTTCTTTTCAAGTGAGCTCGCTCGCAGCAAAGGAATACCACCAAAGACATTTGAGATTATTCACGAAATACTTTAAGTTAGCAACGGGCTCCAAAGCTGAAAAGAAACACTTGTTCCCTATCCTCATACATTTTTCTGTTTAGTTCATTTCTTGAGATCCAATCAGCAAAAAAGATCTCATGATTTTTATCTTGTTCCCTCCATTTCTTGTTCTTTCATTCCTAGAATGTCCTCTCTTAGCTCCAATTTCCCTACTCCGTTAGTCAGGTGCCATTCCCAGGAGGAATAACTCAAATTGGAGAAAGAAATAGAAATAGAAGAATGAGTGCTGCCTAAAGATATTAGAATCATAAACAAACTTCGAACACTCGAGAACAGGCATTATCAATGAGCAAAATATGCGTTGGGTAATTCTGGCTATTTGCTAACCTTAAAAGCACTGAACATGAATCATGCGCTGAGGGCTCATTAATTTCTTTAAGTTAAAGAACATTTGGATAGGTAAAGGATGAAATTTGCTAGATCATCATTCGGTTTGATATAGTAAGAAAGCAACCTTTATTATAGACCATGCTGATCCCTTCAATTATTTTAGTTTTCTCACAAAATATGAGTCTAAATGAAATCATAATTTTTTTATACATGTTTTAAGCAACCAAATCATCCCTAAGAACTGCTTGGGATTGTCGCAGCCTATCATTCTCTTTAAGAAGTTTTTGCCTCATCTTGTCTGCATGCCTCATATTGAAATCAAGAATCTATTATTTCCTATAACATGTTAGAGTTTGCTTCAACTAATCAAACAAATACATGTACACTATGTAAGTAAACGAATCAGATTATAACCAAATTAACACAATTCAGTGCTAATGCCGGTTAAAAAACAAATTCTCATGGCTCATTAATCAGACTAGATAACAAAAGGTATTCCAGCCCTATGTATAGGACTAGAGCCGTTTTTCTCTCTAGAAAGGAATCCTAGTCTCTGTAGCAAGATTAGCTCCGGTGGATCGAAGATAAGAAAATGTTATGGGGTGTGGGCCAGAGGGAAGAAAGAGCAATCAAGTATCGTTGACGGTAATAATTATCACCGTGATAATGTAGGGAGAGGGTGAAAATCTCACTAACCTTTCGGTGGCGCGTAGCAACAATGTAATGTGATAGCAAAACAAATGCTTATGTTCACAACTGATATCTCATCCTTCCAATCACTTCTGCCTCCTGACATTTTTTTCAAGCTCCATTGGCAATCTCAATAAACAAACCCCAAATTGCTAGAAGCTTGATTCTCCAGATATTGTACTGCACAGCTGCTATTTTTCATTCCATATGGAGATTTAGCTGCTCATGTGATATTCAATCTATGAGAACGTCTCGAACATCCACTGTGATATTTCAGTTGTTTCTTTACAAAAATGTGCTTTTCTAGTTTAGTTTCTATAGCTGACCCCAAATAATTAGAATAAGACTTATGATATTGATGATGAGCACCAAGATGTGTTTGTTAGTATAATTTGAGTGTCATATATTTTGTCCCTTTTAGATTTAAACCGTGAAAATTGACCCCCCAAAGCCAGGAGCTATTATTTTGTACGGACACCGGTCTCCCGTCCGATTACGCGCTCGGTATCCAAGCAGTACCAAGCACGGTACATTTTTGGGGTGACGTGATGCATTTTTATTGGTCTCCGGATGCCCTCCGGACTCCGCACAGAATAATAAATCTAATGCCATACCCTAAAATGCCCTTGGCGGGGTGTGGTGTTGGATGTGTACCCAAAGTATGTGAGAGGGGCATTAAATCAAACTGAAAATAAACTGTTACTATATCTTTTAAAATCTGTTTTTTTTTTAGCTCTAGTTTTCTAAGCATGGTGCATCAATACTATTTAATTTCATTTCCTTACATTTCTTTGTCCGGAAACATAAAAAAAGTTTATTTTTCCAGATGTTCTGTGTGTTTGGGGGATTATCAAGCAGAAGATCGGCTGCAAAGGCTACCCCAATGTGGGCACACCTTCCATGTGGATTGTATTGACCATTGGCTTGTCAGCAATACTACCTGCCCTCTCTGCAGGATCTCACTAATTCCAGCCATAAAAGCTGCTGCTGATTCTGTGAATCAGGAGTATCAGGAAAACCAAGCAGATGGATCACAACGGCAATCCTTTGCTGTTCATGACAATGTAGATCTAGAAAGTGAAAGAAACTTTGACGATGAATTAAGAGCCGATGATATACCAAGAGAACTGGAATTTTCCAGGCATGATGAGGGAAGATCGGTTGTGATTGGTGTTGATGACCATGATGGCTTTGAGGAAAATCATAGATAAAGTTAAAGAACCTTATTATTTCATAATATTTGAATAGCTCAGTGTAATAATCTGCCATTGCCACTCTTTGAGATTGGCTGATGATATGTTTGTAATTTTATGTAGAAGTAGTGCTTGTGTGTACAGCATTCCATGCTTCTCATCTTGGATCTTGGAGCCTTCTCAACTTTAGGCTTCGTTTGGGATGACTTTCTTACTGCTTAAAGCAGCTATTTAGTAGTAAAAAGTTGTTTTAAGAAGTACTAAGAAAGCCATCTCAAACGAAATCTTAGTTTTTGATATGCCTTGCAGTCTCAAAGTAAATATGTAAGCTATCTGTAGATTCTTGTGTGCTATGTTTTTTGATGCCAGGACTTAATTTGAGTGATGAGTCATGAATAAAAAAAAATATATTGTAAATCTGAAGTAATTGGTTCATAATAAGTTGATGGATTACAGAGAATTTTTTTTTTTTTTTTTCTGTTTCTCTTTAATACAAAAAAATGTTGCAGTTTTATTTAGTGTAGCAGATCAAGGTGTATTGTGTATCAAACTCTAGTTAATATAGGAGGATTTCGAGGGATGATTAATTATTATGATATACGTGACATAATGATTTTGATTGAACTTGATCTGGATTTAATTATTTTTGTTTTTGTTTTTGTTAATTTGGGAGTTTATGACGGAATTTAAGTGTTTTTTGTGAAAATTTAATGAATTCAAGTCTTACACCTTAAACTGAACTTGCCTAGGAGCGGGGTGTAAATATTTGACACGACCTGAAAAACTGATATGAATTTAGCCCGAAAATTTTGAGTTTGGGTTAAGGATTTCGATCCGTTGATAAAATCGAGTTGGGTTCATGTTGACCTGGAAACTCGAAATTAACTCTATTTAACCTGAGCTGATTGCTTTTCGCTCAGTCGCCTATATTTGTTGCATCGTCCATCGTGTCAGAAGAGATGTCGAGTCGTGTCTGTATCAGTTGTGACTTCACGTCTGCCATCGATTGTCTACGTTAAAGTGACTCAAGCCAATAGGGCATTGTTGATCATTCCCCTCCCATGCATCGGTTTGGCCTTTGGTCTGTTTGTTGCCGTTGCCTCAAATTATTGGAATATTGAGCTCGTCAGCCATCTGTGTGTCTTCCATCGATAGCATCGTGTCGCCACAGCTTTTGTCAGACTGAAGCCAGAACCTTTGCTGCCACATCTGCCGTCACCACCGTCTGCCGTTTCTGTCGCAGTCGTAACCTACAAACATCAAACACACTTGGGTCGTGTTGAGTTGACCTGGACCCTAGACGGGTCGGGTTCGGGTTTGGGAATCTAACCCGTTTGCAAAAAATAGAACTTATTTTTGACACCCGTACTTAGAACGATTTTTGAGTAATTAGTAGCTATGTTAATAAATAATCAAATTTATTAATTTGAATAAAAAATATGGGTTCAATTTAACTCAACAAATAGGTTTTGTTTGAGTTGGGTTTTTTGACCCATTTATTAAATGTATTGGATTCAAGTTAACCCACGAATCTGTTTATGATCTTAAAATGATTTGTTAATTTCTTTTTTCTTTTTAATTTATTACTTGTTGGTATATATATAAATTAATTTCGGATCGGACTCAAATTTGATCCATCAAACGATTTTAAAACCCTTAATAATACCAAATCAGGAAAGTTTTATTAGAATTTTATTTTCACTTAATTATATTTTTAATATTTTGTAATAGAAAGTAATTGACAGTACATTGAATTTGCATTCAGTTATTGATTAAATCGTCAAAAGTCTGTGATTTCGATTCCGTGGCTTTAGATAATAAAAGTATAAGGCATTTAAGCAAACATATTAAATCAGAATTAGCAGAATATGGCCCTTCAACAGGGCGAATTCAGACGCACCACATCACCCGGATACTCTGGACCCCGAATATATCTGAATGATGTGACACGTCTGAATTAATATCCTGACCAATCTGAACCGGTCATAATAATTTTCCCTTCAACAGAAAGTCATCAATGGCCCAAAAAGTCTTCACTGACAGACTTTCTTCTATGCTACTAAGTCTTATATTTCGGGGCCCACGTAGCCTCTAAGGACCTGATTGATTTGGTGTTCGATGCATTTTTTTTTTTTTGGACATTTAGGCCATTTAAGGCAAACTCACACACACAACGCATACACATAGACTCGAACCCTGGACCTCTTAGTTGGAAGCCTAAGCTCTTAACCAATAGGCCAAGGAGAGTTGTGTTGTTCGATGCATTAGTAAGGTACAATTAAAATATATTAGCATTTAGAAATTTGAGTAAAAAATTATTAAAAATATTTAAAAAATTATGTCTCGCTTCTTTATACTAACTTATTTCTTATTCTTTTTTTTTTTTTTTAATTCTTCATTTTTTACTATTTTATTATAATAATTATATAAATCAAAATGATTTTTTCTCTTTCATAATAAATGAGGCTGCTTGTGAGCTGATTCGAATTCGATTAATTGGTCTAGTTCATGATCAAGTGAGACTCGAACATCTACTCTTATAACTGAATCATTAGAAGTCTGATGTTTTATGTGATCAAATCATCTAAAATAGCTCTATCTAATCTTAACTGCTAGTGGGGCTACTCCAACCTTTCACGTATATATCATTTCGCATTCTGTATGTCCAACCTTTTCATGTATATACCATTTTACAGTCTATCTCTAAGTGTAAAGCCACTCATCCTTCACAATATTTATAAATGAAAAAATATCATAGATCGGAAACCAGATTTTACTTCTCTAGTTTCTATAAATTCTTATTATTATTATTTTTTATGTTATTTTCTGGTTTGAAAAGAAATTCGAATATGAAAATTCGATTTCTTAAGAAAACGGATTAAGAAATTCGATTTCTTATTTCTTTAAAAAAAGAAATAATTGTGTTTATTAATTGGCCTTTCTAAATGACAATTAGTTTAGCCTCTTTGATTAAAAATTAATGAATAAAATGTAAATTTAATCAAACAATAGCTTTATTTAAAAATATTAAAAAAAATTGTTTGTAAATAAAAAAATTATTAAAAACTATTATTTAAAAATAGAATTTTTTTATATCAATTAATAAAAAAACTATTATTTTATTTTAAAATAAAAAATTTTAATTTAATTTCTCTAAAATATTTAATAAATTTAGTTATATTATTTCTCTAAAAAAAGTGAATTTAATTTCTCTAAAATTTTGTTAAATCTCTCTCTCTCTCTCTCTCTCTATATATATAGATCTACAAACCGATTTGACAAATTTTTAAGATGACAAAATTATGTATATAGCATTCAGAATTTGTTTATTTAAATATTTAACATGCTGACATCTTTATTTATTTTCCATATTTAATCATTTAAAAATGAGAAATTTTGTACATATCATATTTAAAAACAACTTAGGCCTCGTTTGGGACGACTTTTTTATGCTTTTTAAAACAGCTTTCTAATACAAAAATTTAAACTTTTGTACTAGAAAGCTGCTTTAAAAAGCAGTGAGAAAGTCGTCCCAAACAAAACTTTAAACTTTGATTGACATAACAAAAAATTTGTACCTATGAGCACCTTGTTGATGCTTCAGCGCCACATCCTTGGTTCAATATCCCCAAGGAATTCAACACCTCTCTTCATTAAGTCTAGAATGACTTCATAAGCCGAATATTATAGTAATATAGTTCAGCTATGTATCCAATAATAGAAAACTAGATCGAGGCATTTTTTTCTTGCATATCTCTCATAATGCAGTAAGTTACTCTTCAACCAGCATAGTATCCTCTCTAATGACATATATTATTGATATATCATCAAAAAATTACCTTGATCGGGCACGATTCTCGAGGCAAAAATCAAGTTGGAAAGTTCAAAATTTAAATTTGAGACCATCTAAACTCTGATTTCAGCAAACTTACAGTCTTCCTGACTTCGTCCTTCCGACCTTCATTGTCAGATAACGATTTTTAAAATATCCGTCACCCATCGACTACGGTCCTTCCAACTTACGTCGCCCACCAACTATGGTCCTTCCGACCAAACAAACACATCAACTGTAATTATTTATATTCATATCACGTAATGTACTCTATATGATGTACATCAAGATAAGGTCTTCCCCCAAGGAAGGGCCTCATTTATAATCAACTGCAAATACTAGTGGATTCATTCAAACTGGGTTAAGCCTTATGTTTTTCCTCTCTTTTTAGTGGGTTTCTACATAAAAATCTTAGTGTCTTTATAAATGATGCACCCTCTCTCATATCTAATTGCATGTTAGATCTTCATACAAAGCTAAGACTTTAAACTTTATATTTTTCTACTGTCGCAAATACTCTATGATGCAACAGTTTTGCGCCGTCTATGGGAACGTGGTTCCTGCCTAGGGAGCAAATTTTTGCTCCAGCTTCAAAAGATCGTTCATGTAAATATCATTTTAGTCATTGTTGCATCAACTTCATAAGAATCAAATGCGGATTGAGAGGCAACTTTGGCTCCAACCATGGCAAAAAAGATCCTTCAATGCTTTCAACATTAAGATGATATTTTAGAAAAAATACAGCAAATACAAGGATGCTTCAAATCAATTATAAGCTTTATACAGTCCCTTACGGGACTTCTACTCCTTGGGAAAAATCTTAATCTTGACCTCAAAAAGGCAGTAACGATCAAAAGATAAACTATCCTTCACATTTGATTCGAGATATATGCGATGTTCACCCCCTCCCAATCAAGGCAAAGTTGATCCCAGTGAGATTCGATTTGACCTCTTATACACATATTAATGTCATTGAGTAGGGCTTTGACATACAACCTCGGATAGGTCATATATCCTTGGTGGATTCTCTCGATCTCTTCCACATAGGTTAACGTTATCGAGCATGGCTCTGACATATAACCTCGGATAGGTCACACATCATTGGTGGATTCTCTGAACATCTTCCAAATAGGTTAATGTCATCGAGTAGTGCTTTGACATGCAACCTCAAATAAGTCATATATCATTAGTGGATTCTCTCGACCACTTTCACATTAATTAACGTCATCAAGTAATGCTCTGACATACAACCTCAGATAGGTCATACATTATTGATAGATTCTCTTGATCTCTTCCATATAGATTAACATCATTGAATAGGTCTTTGATATACAACCTCAAATAGGACACACATCTTTGATGGATTCTCTCGACCTCTTTCACATAGGTTAATGTTATCAAGCAGGGCTCTGACATACAACCTCATATAGGTCATATATCTTTGGTGGATTTTCTCGAACCTTTTCCACATATATTAATATCATCAAGAAATGCTCCAACATATAA